CCCCATAGCCGAAGTGGGGTGTTATCAGCAGAGCAAGCAAAGCAGTACAAGCTCAGGGTGGATCACAATGTCACCACACATTCTGAGCACAATTTCAAGAAGCAATAGTTTAAAGTTCACAATTATGAGCAAAGCTAGAGGCTATCGCAGAGGGCTAGTGTGGAGGAGGAGGGACTATGAGAGGAGAGGAGGTAGTGGGCGGCAGCTGAAGCTGCTGGCACACGGCGCAACTGGAGCAACTGGCACACGGGCAACTGGAGCAACTCGCACACTGGCAACTGGAGCAACTGGCACACGGGCTACTGGAGTAACTGGCTCCGCGGCTAAAAGTAGCGGCAGACGAGCAACGGACTCACGGGCAACTGGAGCAACGGGCTCACGGGCGACTGGCATAACGGGCTCACGGGCGACTGGCACAATGGTCTCACGGGCGACTGGAGCTGCTGGCTTCTCGGCGGCCACCCCCTTCAACCTCTCCAAACTATCCCACCCCGATTTCACACACCCCCTACTGCACCCCTAGGGTCACTCACACCCCACCCCCTAGCACCACTCCGTCGACTCCCACACACCCACCCCCCTCAGCGGCAGCTGCAGCAGTGGGAGACAGAGGAGGAGGAGGAGTAGGGGAGACCACACACCCGCCACCCCCCACTCGCCACCCCCAAACCCGAACACAGGGCAGGGCGGGATGGCGGGTAGAGAGGTTATGGGGAGGGGGGGGGGGCGGGGCCGACGCGCGGCCTCCCTGGGCGCCAAAGCAGGCAGCAGAAGGGGCGACGCTCGCCCCCCTCCCCCAGGTCCCCTCGACAGGCGACGGGAAAAGGGGGGGGGGGGGGGGGGGGGGGTGCACGTGCCCTCGGTGCGCCGCGGCTGGCGACGAGGCACGGCCGGGGCGGGGCGGGGCCGCAAGTGGCGGCGACGAGGCCGCTGGCGGCGACGACAAGGCCGATAGGAGCGGCGACGGGGGGCGACGCGTGGGTCCCCGTCGCCCGTCGCAGCGCCTCTCGGGGGCGACGCGCCGAGTGACGGGGCAGAAACCCGTCGCGCGCCTCGGGGCGCACGGCGGGCAGAAAACCGCCGCGCGCCTCGGGGCGCACGGCGGGAAGAAAAACTGCCGCACGCCACGGGGCGTGCGGCACAAAGAGTAGCAGTAGCAGTTGCAGCGGAAGCAACGAGGTGGTGAGCCCACCCACAGGATCGATTCAAGGGGATTGACCTGCTCTGATAGCATGTGAAAATTTAGAAGAAATAAGAGGGTTGCACTAGCAAGAATGAGGATACAAATAGAAAACCCTAGAAGGGTTGTACTCGCTATAGAGCACCCCACTACAGGCTAGAGCATAATATTCTGACAGGATGTACATGGGGGGGGGTTCTTGGCGCAGAACTCAGCAGGAAGCGCAGCGCGGTAGCGAGTGTCACTAGTGCGGAGGTGCGTAATAAGGTCAGCAACAGTGGGAAAGGCAGCAAGGTCAGGGAAGAGGTACGGTAGCATGAGGCGGCTCAGTGCAGCAATGGCAGGGGAAGAGTAGCGTGCAACTACAGCGTCGTACAAGGTCTGAGCACTCTTGTACTGGCTAAAGTGTGCACGCTCAGTGGTTGGTAAGTGGCGGCGCACAGCAAGGCGAGCAGCAGCGTCACGTGTGGCCCACTGTGAGCGAACAGTGGCGTCAGCATCAGCAGCACGGGCAGGGGAGGCACCAGAAGTGAGGTCAAATAGGGAGAGGCCGTCTGCCCTATCGCACTACAGGAAAAGCCGCAGATCATCTACCCTGACCTCAAAGTCCATTGCTCGACCCTCAGCGTCAAAGGTGAGAACGCTAGGGGAAGCCATAGTAGCAGGAGGCAGGGCAGTGCAGTGGCAGAGACTGTGCTCTTACCAGGTAGGTGGAGCGATCGGGCTGCTCGGCGGCTCGGCTGTCGGGCGACTCGGCTGCAGGGCGGCTCGGCTGCTGGGCGGCTCGGCTGCTGGGCGGCTCGGCTGCTGGTGCGGGGCGGCTCGGCTGTCAGGCGGCTCGGCTGCTGGGAGGCTCGGCTGCTGGGCGGCTCGGCTGCACGGTGCTGGGCGGCTCGGTTATCGGGCGGCTCGGCTGCTGGGCGGCTCGGGAGGTCGGGCGGCTCAGGTGGCCGGCGGTTCGGCTGCTCGGCGTTGCGGGCGCTTGGAGGCGGGGTCGCAGGTGGTGGCGAGGTCGCAGGTGGCGGCGGGCCGCAAGGGTGGGCGGGGCCACGGTGGCGACGGGGCCGAAGTGGGGCCTAAGTGGGGCCGTAGATGGGCCGACGGGGCCGAAGTGGGGCTGTAGGGGGGCCGTAGCGGGGCCTAAGCGGGGCCGAAGCGGGGCCGTAGCGGGGCCTAAGCGAGGCCGTAGTGGGGCCGTAGCGGGGCCGTAGCGGGGCCGACGGGGCCGACGGGGCCGTAGCGGGGCCGTAGCGGGGCCGTAGCGGGGCCGTAGCGGGGCCTAAGCGAGGCCGACGGGGCCGACGGGGCCGTAGCGGGGCCGTAGCGGGGCCGTAGCGGGGCCTAAGCAGGGCCGACGGGGCCGTAGCGGGGCCGTAGCGGGGCCTAAGCGGGGCCGTAGCGGGGCCGACGGGGCCTAAGCGGGGCCGTAGCGGGGCCGACGGGGCAGACGCGGCCGTAGCGGGGCCGTAGCGGGGCCTAAGCGGGGCCGACGGGGCCTAAGCGGGGCCGTAGCGGGGCCGACGGGGCCGACGGGGCCGTAGCGGGGCCGTAGCGGGGCCTAAGCGGGGCCGACGGGGCCGACGGGGCCGTAGCGGGGCCGTAGCGGGGCCGTAGCGGGGCCGTAGCGGGGCCATAGCGGGGCCTAAGCGGGGCCGTAGCGGGGTCGAAGGGGCCTAAGCGGGGCCGTAGCGGGGCCGTAGTGGCCTAAGCGAGGCCGTAGAGGGCGGCTTGAGGGGCAGTAAGGGCGGCCAATAGGGGCCACTAAGGCGGCTCGAGGCGCTACTCGAGTTAGGAGCTAAGCGCGCTCCTGGCAGGGAAGGAAAAAAAAAGTTCGTGGTGGGCCCTAGGCAGTATTCCCACTCGGGAACCTGCTCTGATACCATGACGAGAAGTGAGAATGGAATGAATGAACTATGAAACAGTTGGGTACAAGTACTAACCCTAATTGGGTTGTACCCCTTATGGGCTACCCCACTACAGCCTACACAAATGTATAAGCTATAATGTTCTGACAATACCCTCTTAGCATCTTGGCACGCTATGTTGCTCCTGGGAGACACTGACCAGAGCACATGGCTGCAGCGAAGAGGGTGTTGCGCTACGTGTGCAGTACATCGGGCATGGGGCTAGTGCTTGGAGGGCGGCGTCGAGTGGTCCTCACAGGTCACGCAGACGCTTCTTGGGTTGACGACCACGCTCTGCAGCGGTCGTCACAGGGTTACACCTTCAGCCTTGGTTCCGGCTCTGTTTCGTGGCGGTCTACCCGCTCGTCTTCTGTTCTCAGCTCCAGCTGTGAGGCTGAGATCTACGCAGGGGCCATGGCTGCACAGGAGCTACGCTGGCTCACCTACCTGCTGACTGACCTAGGAGAGCCACCTCGTTCTCCTCCAGTTCTGTACGTAAACAACAAGGCCATGCTGGCCTTGTGTCGGGAGCACAGACTGGAGCACAGAACGAAGCACATTGCTCTCCGCTACTTCCTGGCTCGTGAGCTGCAGCAGCGTGGTCAGCTCCGCCTCACCTACGTGGCCTCTGAGGCCAACACTGCTGATATCTTCACCAAGGCCCTTCCGCCTTGTGATCATCAGCGCTTCTGTACTGTGCTAGGTCTTGTGCCTACTTCGCCTCACTTGCTCACTTCTTGACCTTGCTTGTACTGTCCTCTTTCTATACCTGTACTTGCTTGTTTACCTTTATATATATGATCTTGCCTGTGAACTGGCCTTGTGGCCTTGCTCTTGTGCTCGGACTGTGTGGTGACGTTGTGATCCACCCTGAGCTTGCTTTGCTTTGCTTGATTGGTCTTGTGACCCTTTGTTCTCCCCCACTCTGCCTATGGGGGTGTGTCAGGCATATATGCTATAGTCTGTGTAGGCTGTAGTGGGGCAATCCATATGGGCTACAACAGTTTAGGGTTTGCTACTTGTACTCCCCTTTCTGTTCAATGCATCCATTCTCGTTTCTCATCACACTTTAAAGCCCAAGGTCAGCATGGTAAATTTTCAAGTTATGCGGGGTTGAAACAGTATGGCGAAAATAATAATATCGTGTATTTCGGAAATGTGTGTGGGGCGAAAGCAAATTCAGGAGGCGGGTGAAACAGCCTTCGCCATGATACTATGCGACAGCTGTTTCCAAGGATATGGGAGGGCCGAACGACTGTGTGTGTGACAGAGCACTGCTCCAGCCCCACCACTGCTTGTTGCGCTTCTCTTGGGGTTGAAATCGTGGGCAACGTGAAACTCACGCGAGTGAGAGTAAGGCAGTACACTGAACACTATTTTAACAATTTCTGATTTACTAAAATATCTGGATGCTTTTGAGACTTCACTTGAGAAAAACACAACACTTCAAGTGCTGATTAGGTGCAGAAAAGCATTGCAAGCAAATTGTGAATTAAAAAAAAAAAAAAAAAATTGAAATATCAAGAAACGCATCACCAATATATTTTGGGAACGCACTCTCTCAAGCTCAGATCCCTCGACTCATAAGGATCTCGGCCGGCCACATATCGACATGCCGTGCTGGTCCCTGTACCACTCTGCACTCCCCCGGCCCACAGCAGCGCAGACCTGATGTGCGCTACCGCCATCATTTCTGCCAGCATGGTCTGCCCCCTCACGCATCAATGCTCCGCGGCATCCTGCTGGGCAGCAGGGGAGGCTGAAGACAGCTTCGGGAGGAGGCTGCCTCACAGCTCCGCCAGCAAGCCTCAGGGCAGATCCACTCGAAGATCTGCTGGATGCGGTGCTTCGGTGGCCTGCCACGAGGAAGAGGGGGAGCAGAGGGGGAGGGAGTGGGGAGAGAGTGACGCTCATCACTAGTGCCAGGGGATGCAGTCATCGAAGAACTTCTGCATGCGCGTTCGTGTTGCTATGCACCGTGTAGAGAAGGGAAGGGGATGGGGGGAAGCAGGGAAGGGGATGGGGGGAAGCAGGGAAGGGGATGGGGGGAAGCAGGGAAGGGGATGGGGGGAAGCAGGGAGCGGGATGGGAGGAAGCAGGGAGCGGGATGGGGGGAAGCAGGGAGCGGGATGGGGGGAAGCAGGGAAGGGGATGGGGGGAAGCAGGGAAGGGGATGGGGAGAAGCAGGGAAGGGGATGGGGGGAAGCAGGGAGCGGGATGGGGGGAAGCAAGGAAGGGGATGGGGAGAAGCCTGGCGGAGGGAGGGGGGAAGCAGGGTGAAGGGAGGGGGGAAGCTTGGCGGAGGGAGGGGGGAAGCAGGGCGAAGGGAGGGGGGAAGCAGGGCAGAGGGAGGGGGGAAGCAGGGCATAGGGAGGGGGGAAGCAGGGCGGTGGGAGGGGGGAAGCAGGGAGGAGGGAGGGGGGAAGCGGGGAGGAAGGAGGGGGGAAGCAGGGAGGTGGGAGGGGAGAAGCAAGGAGGAGGGAGGGGGGAAGCAGGCGGAGGGAGGGGGGAAGCAGGGTGGAGGGAGGGGGGAAGCAGGGTGGAGGGAGGGGGGAAGCAGGGTGGAGGGAGGGGGGAAGCAGGGCATAGGGAGGGGGATGCAAGGCAGAGGGAGGGGGGAAGCAGGGCAAAGGGAGGGGGGAAGCAGGGCGCAGGGAGGGGGGAAGCCTGGCGGAGGGAGGGGGGAAGCAGGGCGAAGGGCAGGGGGAAGCTTGGCGGAGGGAGGGGGGAAGCAGGGCAGAGGGAGGGGGGAAGCAAGGCAGAGGGAGGGGGGAAGCAGGGCGAAGGGAGGGGGGAAGCAGGGTAGAGGGAGTGGGGAAGCCTGGCGGAGGGAGGGGGGAAGCAGGGCGAAGGGAGGGGGGAAGCTTGGCGGAGGGAGGGGGGAAGCAGGGCATAGGGAGGGGGGAAGCAGGGCGGTGGGAGGGGGAAAGCAGGGAGGAGGGAGGGGGGAAGCAGGGCTGAAGGAGGGGGCAAGCAGGGCATAGGGAGGGGGGAAGTTGGGCAGAGGGAGGGGGGAAGCAGGGCATAGGGAGGGGGGAAGCAGGGTAGAGGGAGGGGGGAAGCAGGGCGAAGGGAGGGGGGAAGCAGGGCAGAGGGAGTGGAGAAGCCTGGCGGAGGGAGGGGGGAAGCAGGGCGAAGGGAGGGGGGAAGCTTGGCGGAGGGAGGGGGGAAGCAGGGCATAGGGAGGGGGGAAGCAGGGTGGTGGGAGGGGGAAAGCAGGGAGGAGGGAGGGGGGAAGCAAGGTGGAAGGAGGGGGGAAGCAGGGCATAGGGAGGGGGGAAGCTGGGCAGAGGGAGGGGGGAAGCAGGGCATAGGGAGGGGGAAGCAGGGCAGAGGGAGGGGGGAGGCAGGGCATAGGGAGGGGGAAGCAGGGCATAGGGAGGGGGAAGCAGGGCAGAGGGAGGGGGGAAGCAGGGCAGAGGGAGGGGGGAAGTAGGGCGCAGGCAAAGGATAAGGGATTGCGGGGTAAACAGAGCTGGTGTATGAGAAATGGAGGTGGGTCAAATAAAAAGGGGTGTAAACACTCCGGGAAAATTGAGGTCGATGGGGAGAGGGAGTGAGGGAAGAACCCGCTCTCACCCATCGTCTCCCACTCTCTGCCCTCCCCCCTCTGTTCCTCCCCCTCCATCCTCCCCCTTCTATCTTTCCCCCTCGGCCCTTCACGAGGGGAAGCGCGCGAGACCAGGGAGGATAGCGCGTATCGAGGGGAAACGCGCGTGCCAAGGGGAGGAGAGCGCGCAACGAGGGGAAGCGCGCGTGACGGGAAGGCGCGGGCGCGAGTGGCGGAAATGTGCGCGACGAAGCGATACGCGCGAGACGAGGGGAAACGCGCGAGACGAGGGGGAAACGCGAGTGACAAGGGGAAACGCGCGTGACGAGGGGTAACGCGCGTGCCGAAGGGAAACGCGCGTGACAAAGTGAAACGCACGTGATGAAGGGAAACGCGGGTGACGAATGGAAACGCATGACGAGGGGAGGCATTCTATCCTGGGCAGGCGCTAGTGACGAGGGCGGGCGCTAGTGACGAGGAGGAGCGCGACTGGCGAGGGGGAGCGCGGGTGACGACTCGAGCTAGACGTGGGGTAGAATGGTGTCGCACTCGTTTGGCTCATACGTTCCGTGTGAGTGTGGCGACAACGTTTGTAAAAATCTACAGCGATTCTAGGTTTGTGCTAGCTATTGACGAGACAGCATGAGTGACGAGAGTTGCCGTAAAAATCGCGGTCACGTGGTACTAGCTAATGACGCACTTGTCAGATTTATATGACATAGCTACTGTAGGCTATAGTGGGGTAGCATATATGGGGTACAGCTTTCTAGGGTTTGTACTTGTACCCAACTTTCCCTTAGTCATTTCATTCTCGTTCTCTTTTCTCATGGTATCGAGTAGGTTCCCTAGAGGGAACTGTTCCTAGGGCCCACCGACTTCTTCTTTCCTGCCCGGGGCGTGTCCCACCCCTGCCCGAAGCGCGCTTAGGGTCGCGCCTTCCCTAGCGGCCCCGTCGCGTCGCCCTTAGCGGCCCGTCGCGCCGCCCTTAGCGGTTCCGTCGCGCCGCCCTTCGCGGCCGCGTCGCGCCGCCCCTTCGTGGCCCCGTCGCGCCGCCCCTTTTGCGGCCCCGTCGTACCGCCCTCAGCGGCCCGTCGCCGCCCACCCCCTGTGGCCCGTCGCCGCCCTTTCACCTGCGGCCCCGTTGCCGCCCTTACAGCGGCCCCGTCGATGCCCTTGCAGCGACCCCGTCGCCGCCCTCCCCTTACGGCCCGTCGCCGCACTCCCCTTCCGGCCCGTCGCCGCCCTTACAGCGGCCCCGTCGCCGCCCTTACAGCGGCCCCGTCGCCGCCCTTACAGCGGCCCCGTCGCCGCCCTTACAGCGGCCCCGTCGCCGCCCTTACAGCGGCCTCGTCGCCGCCCTTACAGCGGCCCCGTCGCCGCCCTCCCCTTACGGCCCGTCGCCGCCCTTTCAGCGGCCCCGCCGCCTTCTTCAGCGGCTCCGTCGCCACCCCTGCAACGGCCTCGACGCCGCCCCTTCAACGGCCCTCCAGCCGCCTCCTCTGCGGCCCTGTCGCCGCTCACTTCAGCGGCCCAGCCGCCCTTCGCGGCCCCGCCTTCCTAAACAGCACAGCTGACCAGCAGCCGAGCCGCTCAGCACCCGAGCCGCCGAGCCGCCCAGCAGCCGAGCCGCCAAGCCGCCGAGCCGCCCAGCAGCCGAGGCGCCGAGCCGCCCAGCAGCCAAGCCGCCGAGCCGCGGAGCCGCTCAGCAGCCGAGCCGCCGAGCAACCGAGCCGCCCAGCAGCCGAGCCGCCAAGCAGCCGAGCCGCCGGAGCTGAGCCGCTGAGCCGACCGAGCTGAGCCGCCGAGCCGCCAAGTCACCGAGCTGCCGAGCCGCCCAGTTGCCGAGCCGCCGAGCCGCCGAGCCGCCCGAGCCGCCCTGTCCGGTAAGAGCAGCGCCTCTGTCACTGCACTGCCCTTACCTTACTGTTCGCGCTGCTAGTCTACTGCTGTCATGGCTACCCCTAGTGTCCTCGCTTCTGACGCTGAGGGTCGGGCCATTGACTTCGTCGTCTGGGTAGATGACCTGCAGCTTTTCCTACAGTGCGATAGGGCAGACAATCTCTCCCTCTTTGACCTCACCTCTGGTGCCTCTCCTGCCCCTGCTGCTGATGCCGACGCAACTGTTCGCTCACAATGGGCCACACGCGATGCTGCTGCACGTCTTGATGTGCGTTGCCACCTGCCTACCTCTGAGCGTGCGCACTTTAGTCAGTACAAGAGTGCTCAGACCTTGTACGACGCTGTATTTGCAAGCTACTCCTCCCCTGCCACTGCTGCACTAAGCCGCGTCATGCTACCGTACCTCTTCCCTGACCTTGCTGCCTTTCCCACAGTCGCTGACCTCATTACGCACCTCCGCACTAGTGACACTCGCTACCGCGCTGCGCTTCGTGCTGAGTTCTGCGCCAAGAACCCCCCCCCCCCCCCATGTACATCACCCTCTACTACATAGTCACCCGGATCCCTGACTCCCTTCGCGTAGTCAAGGACCACTTCCTCTCAGTTTGCCCCACCACTCTCACCGTTGACCTCCTCGAGAAGGCCCTCCTAGTTGCAGAGAGGAGCATAGTAGCTGAGGGAGCCTCTCGTGGTGACCCTCGCACCCCCATCTTTGAGGGGTGTTCCCCCTCCCCCCTTTTGCCCTCTGTTGCCTCTCCTGCTGCAGCCAACCTCGTTGGGCTTGAGTCGGTCGGTGCGGCGTCTACCCCTAGCGGGAGACGCCGCCCTGGCAAGGGCAAGGGGGGCAGGGGCGCTTGAGGAACTAGCGGGGGCGGTGGAGAAGGCGGTGGAGGCGGTGGAGGAGGCGGTGGAGGCGGTGGAGGGGGTGGGGGTGGAGGTGGGGGTGGTGGCGGTGGGAGCGGAGGTGGCAGAGGTGGCGGCGGCGGAGGAGGCGGTGGCCGTGGAGGTGGAGCTGGTTGGGGTGGCGCTGCGCAGAGGGTCGGCTCCGGTGGTGGTCAGCGCCAGCAGCAGCAGCGCACTCGTGACATCCCCCCCCCCCCTCAGCAGCTCCGTGAGTGGTACGCTGCACGCCGGCGGGGTGGGGGTACTGGTCCGTGCACCTACGTCCTACGCACCGGCGAGCGCGCAGGTGAGCAGTGCGGGGGTGCGCACTCCACCCAGCGCTGCTTTGGCCGCCTGACGAACGCTTGGCGTCACCAGTTCCCGGAGGCCACTGAGATCCCCCGCTGGGGCGAGCTTTCTAGGGCGGGAGTAGCTGTCTTTGACCTTCACTTTGATGCTATTCTTGCTGCCATGTATGCTGTGACTATTAGTGATGAGGGTGACTGTTACCGGTGTTTTCCGCCCGACCCGGGCATTGAGACTGCTACTCTAGGTACTGGTGAGGCTGCTGCTCTAGGTGCTAGCGAGGCTGCTGCTCTAGGTGCTAGTGTGTCTGCTCCCTCAGGTGCTGGTGAGTCTGCTCTCTCAGGTACTGCGTCGGCTTCGGCCTCCCACACCTTCACCCTTGACTTGGGGGCTTCTCGCTCCTTCTTTCGAGACCGCACCACACTCACCCCGCTTTGCCGGCCAGTTGCAGTCTCTCTGGCAGACCCCTCTGGGGGTCCTGTCCTTGCTCACTACTCCACTGTCCTCCCGTGTCCGGCGGCCCCCTCTGGCACCCTATCTGGTCTTTACCTCCCCTCGTTCTCTACGAACTTGATGAGTGGTGCTGACCTACAGGATGCGGGGGTTCATCAGTTCACTCCTGCGAGTCAGCGGGTGACCCACTGCACGGACGCTCGGACAGGCCGACACCTGGCCACGTTTACACGTCGGCCGGGGTCGAGCCTGTACACACTGACCGCTGAGTCTCCTCCAGTCACTGCGTCTGGTCAGGTAGCTGCGTCGGGTCAGGTGTTTGCTGCAGCGTCCTGGTCTGGTCCTGAGTCTGCCCCCTGCTCGTGTCGCCTCCTGTCTCTCGAGACTCTCCTCTGGCACCACCGCCTTGGTCACCCCTCCCTGCTTCGTCTCCGAGGCATGGCCTCCCGTGTCCTTGTCTCTGGTCTTCCTCGGTCCCTCCCTCCCCTTCCTCCTGGGCCTGGCCCTACCTGCGTCCCCTGTGTCGAGTGGCGGCAGCGGGCTGCCCCTCACTCCTCCCAGTTTCCTCCGACAGAGGCCCCGCTGCAGACGCTTCACATGGACGTGTGGGGCCCGGCCCGCGTCCGTGGACAAGGTCACGAGCGCTACTTCCTGCTGGTGGTTGACGACTACTCGCGTTACACCAGAGTCTTCCCCTTGCGCAGCAAGGGTGATATCACTGAGGTGTTGATCGACTGGATCCGCGCAGCTCGTCTCCAGCTCAGGCAGAGCTTCGGCTCGGACTTTCTTGTTCTGCGTCTGCACTCTGACAGAGGCGGAGAGATCTCCTCTGCCCTTCTGCGAGCCTGCTATCGTGCACGAGGCATCCGCCAGACCTTCAAGCTTTCGGACTCTCCACAGCAAAATGGGATTGCTGAGCGCCGCATTGGCATGGTCATGGATGTTGCTCGTACGTCCATGATGCATGCGGCTGCCCCCCATTTTCTGTGGCCGTTTGCGGTTCGGTACGCGGCGCATCAGATCAACCTTCACCCCAGGGTCTCCATGCCGGAGACCTCCCCAACTTTGCTGTGGACGGGGAAGGTTGGCGATGCGTCTGCGTTCCGTGTCTGGGGATCTCGGGCGTTTGTCCGCGACTTGTCTGCGGACAAGCTGTCCCCTCGCGCTGCTCCTTGCGTCTTCCTTGGCTTCCCCCCTGACGCGCCAGGGTGGCAGTTCTACCACCCCACCTCTCACCGTGTTCTGTCCTCCCAGGACGTCACGTTTGACGAGTCAGTCCCCTACTACCATCTCTTCCCCTACCGCACTCCGTCCCTCCCCCCGCTACCGCTCTTCCTTGTGCCAGGTCCCCCCCCGGTAGACCCCCTCCCCCCTCAGGGTCCTGCCCCTTCAGGTGTGTCCCAGGTAGACGCAGTCAAGCCTGTCGAGGTTACTGGTGACTCTGGTGCTGCTGAGGGTGCTGAGCCTGGGGGTGCTGACTTTGGGGGTGCTAA